TTTCTTCCTTCATTTCTTCCTTCGTTTCTTCCTTCGTTTCTTCCTTCATTTCTTCCTTCATTTCTTCCTTAATTACCGTATTTCCATCATTTCCATTCAAATGTGTTTATCTATACTTATTCCACAGGGAATATAGTGCCTGTTTTTTTGTTTTGCCTAAAGTCACTTCTCCAAATCATGCTTAATAGAAAATAAAATAATATAAATAAATTTCTGTTAAATGAAATGATATTTATTTATATCAAAACATTCTGTAAGTTTAGTTAGACTGAAGTGTTCAACTAATGTCCCAGCCTTGCATCACGATGCACTACTTTGCAAAAGAGAAGACAATATTTATTTTTAACAATTAAATGTTACCTCGTTATTTCTATTTTTCAGTTGAAGATCCATCTGATTATTTTATTCGCCTTCGAGACTACGTAGATGCCTTGGCTTGCAGTAAACTTCAATGTTTCTCCCCTGATTTACTGAAAAAAGGGTTTACTGCCGACTTGGCATCTGAAGCCCAGAAAGCAAGAAAAATGAATAAGGTATTCACTGTGAACAAAACTAAGCACAGAAACATGGGCGGCATACCATTAAGAGCATTCACCTTTCACTAAGTTGACCCAGGTTTGAATCCCAGACTCAGGGGCGTTGAGTTGAGTGGCTTGTTGATTCTCTCTGTCGTTAAATTGCATTGTGTCATGTGTGAGTAGAGTTGTTTTTTGGTTCTCTCCTGTGCTTCGAGGGTTTTTTCTCCAGGTTCTCCAGTTTTTCCTCTTTTTTTTCTGTTAGTAATGTTCTAATGATATTAATATATATTAACAGTTGCAGTGTCGTAGAGTATATGAAATCCTCCGGCTCAAAGCCACAGACCGCAGCAATGCTGAAGAGTACCAAAACTACAGACTAGACGTAAAAAGAAGACTCAACGCACCTTATCAGGTACACTGAAAAAACATTAAACGTTCATTCAATTGACCTCTTTACCTTGGGTATAATGTTTTCCCAATTTAGACCATGTGTCATTCCCTAGAGTATCATTTCTTTGTTTAAAGGTTGTGCATGAAAAGACACATGACTATGGATACAATTCAAACGAAGAATCTTATTCTCAAGAGAATTACATAAGAAATAAAATGAGAAAACATTATGCCCAAGATACAGAAGTTTATTAAAGCATTGCTGCATGGCAATATTTGTATGTAAATTCCTTCAAATAACTATATTTGGTAGCCCAGGATAAATTAATTCTGTTAGTGGACCAGTACTTTTATTTTGGATTTGGGTTCATGTTTCTGCCATCTCATTGACTCACAAATGTCTTCCTTATGGCATGCATCAGTCAACGATTTTCTAAATTTGAACATTGTGAGTCTGATGGATGGTAGTGTAACCACCTTGCATTCTGCTCTGGGAGTTTGGGAAGCACAGGTGATGTGTGTCACTAATGCGTCACATGTGCAACCCGGGCTCAACTCCTTGTTTCTCTCCTGTGCTTCTTTTTTTAAACAGATTTATTGGTCTTCATTCTCAATAATATACTATGGATACAAAAACAAAAGATGCATGGATGCATGATGATGTTGGTTCATGATGATGATGACTTATATGATGATGATGACTGATGACTGATATGATGATGATAATGATTGATTATGACTGATGATAATGATGATTGATGAATGATGACAATGACGATGTTGAATGATGATGACAATGATTGATAATGATGATGATTGATGATGACTGATGATACTGATGATTTTACATAAAAAAGGACATGAGGACACCAAATAGTTTAGTGCTTTAAGGGCTTTTTTACTGGTTTTTCCCCCTCTTTTCTTTTCTTTCCTTCCCTTCCTTCAAAAGCTTAACATAAGCCTTTGGCTTGGAAGACTGAATACGCTTACAATTAGATTTCAGGAATATTACAAGTGTACATTAAGCCTCAAATCAATCTTTACTTTTAGAAAGAAAAAGCTGATGCAGATAAGTTAAAGAAGGTTTTGTCAGCCGAGGAGATGAGTGCAACCCTTCTCCTTCCATCACCTAGTGAACAACGAAAGCATCTTGAACAACTTTATGAAGAACTTGAAGAGTGTTACCTCAGAACCATTGAACGAATCGCTGCTTCTTAATTATGAGCTAACTACTATTTGATATCCTCATTTATTGCTATGACAAAATGAAACTATGTATATGCAGATAATGCTTTGAATGCAGCCTTCTTAAAATTGTCTTGAATGCTAGGCTAACATGGAAAAACAAAAGAAATGCCACAAATTTCATTGAGAAAAAGTGTGATTTGTCTTGTATTTTCACGTTAGCCTTGCATCCACGATACTTTTAAGAAGGGTCCATATATCTCTACCTAATGTTTTGCCCATTAAAGATCATGTGTCATTCCTTAGAAAACTCATTAATAATTCATGAAGAAAACACAATAGAAATCATRACCATGAAGGTGRTTTTATATCTGATAAAGATTCGTCTTCATTTGCATAAACTTTAACTTGGATTTTCTCTATCAAACTTGGTTCATTTCGTAAAAAAATCGGTACACAATGAGAACAAACATCATAAGTTTTCTAAGCCGTTCAATAATCTCGCAGATCGTGGTTTATCGGGTCTAAAACCACTCGGCTGCGCCTCGTGTTTTATACCCGATAAAACACTCCTGCTCGTTTATTAAACATTACCTAGAGTATCATTTCTTTGTTTAACAGTTGTGCGTTCATGAGAAGACAAATGAATATTGATACTCTCTTCTTCTCAAGAGAATGATACCTGGTCTGAAATGGAAAAAAGGAACATTATGCCTCGTCCCCATCCATCCTTTGGAGTCCATGTTGGGGTGTTGTTTGGTTGGTCCATCTAACGAAGAGTAAGGAGAATCGTTTCTGTTGAATAACATTGTTCAGGAGGGAGGGGAGGTAAATGTATTTGTTAATCTTTGCATCAAAACATTGTACCTTAAGTCTTTTGGCATTGATTGTATCTTTGAAGCAAACCAAATCATACTAAGAAAGAATGAACCAAGAAAACAAGTAAGAAAAGAAATAAAGCCACTGTAAAGAGAGTAAATAAAAGGCTTAATAAATACGTTTCCTGCAACATTCTAGTCAACAGTGCCTTGTTGGGGGGAGGGGGGAAGGGAATGGACTGAGGGCCTGATTTTCCGAACGAATCATATATGTACAATATTCACTTGTCAGACACTGCATTTGGCTCATGTTTCATGTTTCGTGTTATCCTCGTGTGGAATGGAACAGGGTATGCATCAGCAGCATACATACTACAGGGAAATGCGTCTCTCCCGCCAACTATAAATTTTAAAATTTGACGGGCCTAGATTGTCGCGCCACCTTTGCGGTCTAAAGGCGCGCTCGATAAAGTGATAAAACTTGGTGTAATAATGAGTAATATAAATTCAACAGTTTAGAGAAGAACTCGCTTGAAAACTTCTGTTTTCTCTGTCACCTTAATACAAAAGGTCTCTATTTGTCAAAAGTTTTTTATCATTTTAGTGTGTACGCAAGGCCAAAAGGCATCATTCTTGTGTGGACGGGGCCTCATTAAACAAAGGACATTTGTTTCTTTTGATATATTCATTCCATCTGACAACTTTTTTTGGACTCAAGGGACCCTTTGTGTACAACGAGGTTCTTGTTGTCTGCCATAAACTCTTCAAGTCGAAGGATAACTTCAATGCATCAGTAAACAACTTCTGATAGCCGCTACTAGTCTAGAATCAAGGTAAGGTGGAATTTAAACTTTATTAACTCGATAGGATATATAATTTTATAGAAAAATGACGAAACTTGTAACTTCGTTTGCTGAAAATCAATAGAGAACAGTTCATTCGGTGTTTGTGTAAACTGACTCCAATTCCACGTACAGAATCGCTTTAAAATGAATTCGTTGTCACAGATTCGTTCTGAATTGAATAGTTAACGCAAAACCTTAATTTGAAAATAAGCTCCGTCTTAGACAAATAATAAGAAAATATTTGATCTTGATATATTGATAAAAACAATGATTGAAATGCATGGGCTACCTGTGGCTATGAATATGCTAAGAAGGTTTCCAATTCTCGACGATCATTTCACGATAGCGCAAATTATAACTTTGAATGATGACGGAATTAATTGCCTTTTCAAAATGAATTAGTCAGTTTCAGGTGCATTCGGAACACAATTTACAACCGAATTACATGCGATTTGTGATGATGTTTTTATTTACAACAAAAAATATGTAAGGACTTTTATTGATGACAATATAAATTGATTCTTGTGATGATAATTTCACTTCTATGACAATAACAATGGTAATGCAATTCATATAAAAGAAAAATAGTATTCCAATCTAAGACGAAATTAATTGCAACTTTCAATGACGATTTAACTCATTAGAGGGAGCGCATTAGGATTCCAATTGATGACGAAATTAATTGTAAATTTTGATGAAGATTTTACTCATTAGAACAGCGCACATTAGGATTCCAATTGATGACGAAATTAATCGTAAATTGTGATGAAGATTTTACTCATTAGAACAGCGCGCATTAGGATTCCAATTGATGACGAAATTAATTGTAAATTGTGATGAAGATTTTACT